CAAACAAAAGAAGTCGGATACGTAGACATTACTAATAATAATGAAAAAACACAAACAAAACAAATGAAGGGTAACATTTCGCAGGAACCCAAAGCACTTCCGCGATATATTTAACTTTAATAATAATAATTTCCTGAGACTCCAAATCAGTCCCCAGACGTTGGAAAAAGTATACTTCACGGGTAATTTTTTTAACACGCTGCTAGCACTTAACAGTGTCCCCCGCCCCTTGTCAAAACCTGGAGAAAGTGGGCACGTCGCGTTAATGTACTACGGCAATTATTAAAAATTTGGCGTATTATTAGTTACTGCTGGAAGGCAAGACACTAAGAGGTCTTGTGTGTCTACCGGTCAGGCGGGACACCATCCCTACGGTCTTTGACTGTACTAGTTTAAGCTTTTAGCCTGTCGGGACCGTTTATAATGCGAAAGGCGCCCTCTTTTTTTTTACAAACATCGCTGTGTTAAAAAAAAAGTAGACGTCAACTTCATCAGGGTATTCCTGTGAGAAGAAGACGCATGGTGAAACAAGTAGAAATCGACCACCAACAAGAGTGACAACGACATTATGAGCTGTTTATTTGTTAGGCGTGAACACTGCCTCTCTCCTCTCCTCCCCCCCCCCCCCAGCCCAGCCAACTCGTCCGACGTAGTTCCGTCCTGTCGTCAAGACGAGAGACGTGCGGACGCGACGACCGAAGGAGGTTCCAAATGTCATTTTTTGACATAATTAATTATGATAATGATATAATCGTAATCCAGATACACAACCAACTTTGATTCGGTCCTTTTTTCTTTGTATTTTTATTTTTTATATATATTTATGTTTAGCTTATTTTTTTTAGTTAAAAAGCAAATGCCTCTGATTGCTTATAAGCTTTTTAGCTTATTAGTGACCGTAGGGGATGGGAGACACATCGTATACACATTTCTCTCGCACCGACGCAACGCACCGTCGCCGAAGGAAGACGTCCATTGCCCCTCTGCGTTGCTGGGTACTGTATTTAGCTGAGGCTAAAGGCCCAGGTGAACAGATGGTGTTTGAGTTGTTTTTGTAAAGTGTCCAGAGAGTCGGCATTCCTGATAGCAGAGGGGAGAGCATTCCAGAGGGTGGGAGCTGCGACACTGAAGGCTCTGTTGCCAAATGTTTTCAGCTTGGAGCGCTGGATGGAGAGCAGCCCTTTGTCGGAGGACCGCAGGTGACGAGAGGGGGTGTAGGGCTGAAGGAGGTCAGAGATGTATGGAGGGGCTAGGGAGTGGAGAGATTTGTAAGTTAGCAGGAGGAGTTTGTACGTGACTTGACCGGGAGCCAATGTAGGTGGATGAGGGTAGGGGTGATGTGTTGCCAGGGCTTAGTGCGGGTGAGGAGCCTGGCTGCAGAGTTCTGGACGTACTGGAGCCTGTCCAGGGCTTTGCTGGTGACCCCGAACAGAACACCATTGCAGTAGTCCAGACGAGAGGAGATGAAGGTATGGATTAATGTTTCTGCAACGGGTTCGGGGAGAGAGGGCTGGAGTCTGGAGATGTTTCGTAGGTGAAAAAATGCAGTTTTGACAGTTGACCTGATGTGGGAGTTAAAGGTGAGGCTAGAGTCCAGAGTGACGCCCAGTCTGCGAACCTCGGGGGAAGGGTGGATGGAGCCGCCATCGATGGTGAGGAGCAGATCTCCAACCTTCCGGAGCAGTGTTTTTGGGGCCACAACCATGAGCTGTTTTGTTATTGTTGAGTTTAAGTAGATTTTTTGACATCCAGGCTTGGATGTCGCGGAGGCAGTTGACAAGTGACAGTGGGGGTAGCTGGGATGATGGATTGGTACTGATGTAGAGTTGGGTGTCGTCGGCATAGGAGCTGTTGAGAAGTTGAGACCATGTTGGCGAATGATTTCACCGAGGGGGAGCATGTAGATGTTGAATAGAAGGGGGCCGAGCACAGAACCTTGCGGCACACCTTGGTTGACAGGGGCTGGGGGAGAGCTGGATTTTCCGATGGTCACAAACTGTTGGAGAGGTAGGAATGGAACCAGGAGAGGGCTGTACCAGAGAGGCCAAGGTAGACGGATAGGCGGTTGAGTAGGATAGTGTGGGAGACTGTGTCGAATGCGGCAGAGAGAGTCTAGGAGGATAAGGATGCTGACGAGGCCTGAATCGGCGGCTATGAGGAGGTCATTGGTTATTTTAATAAGGGCCGTCTCTGTGCTGTGGTTGGATCTGAAGCCTGATTGGAAGGATTCGTAGAGCTCATGGTCGGACATATGATGGTGGAGTTGGGCAGCAACTGCTATTTCCATGATCTTGCTCAGAAAAGGAAGGTTGGAGATCGGCCGGAAGTTGCTGGGGTCCTCGGGGTCGCTACCAGGTTTTTTGATGATGGGGGTGACAGCTGCTATCTTGAGAACGGCGGGAACCTTGCCTGATTCCAGGGAGGAGTTGATCATTTTAACAATGGTGGAGCAGAGGATGGGTACGCAAGTTTTGACCAGGGCAGAGGGCATGGGGTCGAGGGAGCAGGTTGTAGCGTTAGCTTTTGAGACAAGTTTGGTAACCTGTGTGACATCCACTGGTGCAAAGGAGGAGAGACAACATTGAGGCAGGTGTTGAGTTGAGCGAACAGTGACTGGAGGTGGTGTGGCATATGGATGGGATGGGGCAGAGGCCTGGAGTTCCTGGTGGATGGAGTTGACTTTGTCCTCAAAGAAGTCAAGGAACCTGGTGCAAAGCTCGGGGGCGTCTGCTGGGTTGGGGGGGTCAATTGGGTGGAGTAGGCGGTTTATGGTGGAGAAGAGCATATGGGGGTGGTGTTGCTGGTTACCGATGAGTGAGGAGCAGCAGTGTGCCTTAGCTTTTGAGAGAGCTTCCTTGTATGATCTGACATGCTCTCTGTAAGCCTCCAGATGGACTGTGGAGGCCAGATTTTTTGTGGGAGCCGCTCCAGTGGCGGCCAGAGGCTTTCATGGGCACGGAGACTGGGTGGTGAACCCAGGGTGCTGAGTGGGTGAAGGAGACAGTCGCGAGTAATGAGGGGGCAAGTGAGTCGAGACTCAGGGAGAGAGAGCAGATGGTTATACTGGGCTACACAGTCTCGTCAACCCGAAGGTGTCAGGGGGGTTCGGAGGCCAGGTGGGCTAGCTATGAGGCTGGTTATGGCTGGTGCGCTCACTGATTTTAAGTTCCTGTAGGTAATTGTCCGCAGTACAAGCTGTCTGGGGAGGGCGATAGGCACAGTGAAGCAGGATGGCATGATGGTCGGAGACAGCCAGGTTGAAGCACTGCAGGTGGGATGCAGTTGTGGCAAGTGGCACTAATACCAAATCCAGGGTGTGCCTTTGGCATGTGTGGGATCATGGACCATGCTGTTCAAAATTGAAGCAGTCCAGAAAGTGCCAGGAAGCAGAGGCAAAATGTGAACAGGGGTGAGGTCCACATGAATGTTAAAGTCTCCAAGAAGGAGCGTCAGATGGGGACCATGGAGGCAGATTGAGTGAGTAGCTCAGATAGTTTCGACAGGAAGATGGCAGAAGGCTGAGGCTTTGGGGGGGCGATATATAAGAGACAGCCTGAGCTGTGCAGATCCAAGATAGAGTGAAGGCAAGACATTCAGTGAGGTGTGTTGGGTACAGGAAGCTCTTGATTGAGATGTCTGTCCTGAATATATATTACAGCTCAGTCCCACCGCCCACCGACCAGTGCTATATTGACAGCAGAGACATAGACCAGAGAGGAACCATGCTCGGCTGGGAGAGTAATTAGGAATCCCTGTCCAGTGTGCATGTTTTGGTGGTAAGACAGAGCACTTAACATGACCGTTTATATGCTACTCAGTGGATGAGGTGTCATGTGGACGCAGACGTTCTTTGTTGTTCGTGTGATCGAACACTTCTGCGATATAGATTGGTTCGTTTTGTTTCCATCTCGTGTGGACAGGGCCTAAGAAAAGACTCCCATGGCTTTCAATTATAATAATCCCATTGGAACAGCATATTGGGTAGCTCACAGTGTTTCTACATCTGTGTCAGATTCGCTGCTTCAAACTCAACTCTTGTAATATCAAGATCATAGTTGGTAAACGGACATGTGGCTACCAAAAAGGATGTTTCAAAGGTGGGCGCACACATATTCGTAAAAATAGCCTTTGTTTCTGTTGTAAGTTATTGGAAAATAAGGATTCATATCATTAACTTTTATTTTAATAGCCAATGTTTTATTTTATTTCAAATGACAATATGTTAAAGTATATACTATTATCCTTCTTACCCATTTTCTGAAAAACGTGTCATATCTTATCTCTATCCTTTTTAACTCTAAATGAATTCCCCAAAAATATTTTGCAGGGACACCAAACAGTGTGCATTAAATATTTTTGGGTTATGGATCCTACTACTACCTTACTGGATCTACTCCAGTGACTTTTAATTACTTTAATCTTCACTGGTACTCCCATGACAGCTGTTAAGAACATGCTGACTTCCTAAACCAATCATATCTGCATAAGCAATGTAAATGCTACAATTTGATAATAAGCAATTGGTCAAAGCAGAAACTTGTAACAATTATTGTTCCACAGGTTTTATAGTATACCATTTTCACAATTTATTTCTTTGTTTGTTCATGTGAGATGTGAAATTAAAATGACCTTTTCTCTGCTTTCATTCGTCTGACAATTGAAAAATAAAATGAGATATCTGGAACAACAACGTTCCTTTTTCCTCATCTGTAGAACACACAAGAATATAGATCTACACTGAATGCTCACTGTGCTGGTAAGATAACCTTATGGGCCAGAAATCATGCAGGAAGTGCCTCACCTGGTCTCCTCCCAATTAAAATGCATTGAAGAAGACTAAAACGTCAAAGGAGTGTTTGGTGGTCCCTTACTCATCGTTAAAAAAGCAGTTTGTTCAGTATGCAAGTCCCAATGACAGATCACCACTTTTAAAATAAGATCACTTATTATCACTTCCCAGATATGTTCAGGCTCATAGAACATTTCTGACTTCTGGAGGTAAATTGTTCAGTGAATGCATACAGGACAAGACTGTACAAATCCTGTTTATGGTGGTACCTCCCTGGCCAGTTCTGGTGAATCACTAGTCGATGTCAGATTGTAATGGCTTGCTGTCACTTATCGCCATCTGGTGTCAGTGGACTTAAAACATGAAGGTTTGGTACAACTAAAAAATAACCAATATTCATTGCCAACCGATGGAGTTATGACCATTCACACAGACAGTGAAATGGAAAGAACCGAATCTTACGATACCAAACCACACCTCAAAGGGACACTCTCATCAGCGCTTACACAACTACCTCTCTCTTCACCATTCTTACAGCCACTCGTAGAAGCCCTCACATCGTTACTGGAATGTCAACCCCTCCCCCCCCTGAATCATACAGTATAGCCTGTGCTATTCTTCTGCGCGCGCTCTAAATTGCCCCAGCAGGAGAAAAAAAATCTGTCCATTTTTAAACTTGTACTAAGCTTTTTTTTTCAACAGTATTAGATTAAGATCATATTATATCTTAAAATATGATTCCATTCATATTAGCTGGTCTAATTTGGACTGGCCGGAACGGACACCGTGTGATTACTGCTTCATATATACCACAATTCAATCCTATAAAATATATTATCTGCACTTTTGATTCCAATGCAGGAGATCTATAGACTAGTGACTGTTTTAAAATTGCGGAAGGGAGTTTAAAATTCCAAAGGCAAGATATCGGAAAGCTTTTCTTTTATACTAACTTAATTGCAACTTCAGGACAACACACAAATGCTGGAAGAAACCCTGATGGTGCGTTCACACCGGCCGTCAAAGAGAAGATTACATAGCAATTCAACATACTATGCTGTGATTTCATTGTAAAACATTTTTTCAAAATGATCGCCAACAAGACCACTGATTAGTATAACAACCATGAATGAATTCATTGGATATGTGTGTCCAATAGACTGTAGGCCAGAACACTTTTATAATGTATGTTTTCTGAATGGAGGATCGGAAATAAATAACACGAACGATGTTTTGTTTCTAGTTAAGATAATCATGCCAGGCACATTTCTAACTCTTCTAAAATGCGTAACTCTTGCTCGCGTCCATTCTGCGAAATGGAGCTTTGCGCTCGAGTGTGAACCGCACTTACCCCTAAATACAAAAGGTGTCCTTAAATGTTGGACTGTCTTTTGTTACATGCACTNTTCTACCAAGATTCTCAGCTAAACACTACCGTGATTACACGCCATCATGTTCCAAACCACATCAAGGATTATTTCTGAAACAGTCTGGAGCTCAAATACTTTTTAGTATTTGAGCTCCAGACTGTTTCAGAAATAATCCTTGATGTGGTTTGGAACATGATGGCGTGTAATCACGGTAGTGTTTAGCTGAGAATCTTGGTAGAATTCTCCTGCATTAGCTCCCCCCCCCCCCCTTTGTCTTTTTTTAAAGCTACGGACCCAGAATCAGCAGTTCTCTAACAGGGCTGAAATAGAGGGGTATGAGGGATGGCAAGGATGGGTGATCTGTTTGGTATTTTGAGCAAATCACTTTATATGCCTAAAAGAAGTATAATAGGAGACCTTTACGGCAGATGGAAGCAGCTTGGGGCTCTCTCAAGCTAAAAGGAAACCCATCTTATGTACAACCATTCAAGCTGTCTCAATAAGCACACAACTGCAATATAAACACAAGTTGATTGATTTACAGGAAGTTATGTGTTAAGCTATTTCTTACCCGGGCACAGTAACTTCCTAGAATATTGTGGTAACTTTTAGGGTAAAGAGTTCATTTATAAGCTTTACTGTAGCTGTCCATTGGGATATATGTTTGAGCTTTTGAATCTAGCTGTTACTCACTGCTTCTGGTCTTTATGATACATAAGCAAACAGCCCTGTTCGGGGTCACCAGCAAAGCCCTGGACAGGCTCCAGTACGTCCAGAACTCTGCAGCCAGGCTCCTCACCCGCACTAAGCCCTGGCAACACATCACCCCCACCCTCATCCACCTTCACTGGCTCCCGGTCAAGTCACGCATCCAGTACAAACTCCTCCTGCTAACTTACAAATCTCTCCACTCCCTAGCCCCTCCATACATCTCTGACCTCCTTCAGCCCTACACCCCCTCTCGTCACCTGCGGTCCTCCGACAAAGGGCTGCTCTCCATCCAGCGCTCCAAGCTGAAAACATTTGGCAACAGAGCCTTCAGTGTCGCAGCCCCCACCCTCTGGAATTCTCTCCCCTCTGCAATCAGGAATGCCGACTCTCTGGACACCTTCAAAAAACAACTCAAACACCATCTGTTCACTCAGGCCTTTGGCCTCAACTAATATGCAGTACCCAGCAACCTGTTCCTGTTTTGTTTTCTTCAGCCTATGTATCTGTATGGTTATTATTACTTTTGGTTTTGTTACTTCCCATTGTAAAGCGTCCTTGGGTTTCGTGAAAGGCGCTATAGAAATTGAAATGATTATTATTCATCTCATATTTTTTACGATACAGCAAAAGAATAGCTTACCAGTCAAAGAAGTCTCCATTGTAGGTCACAAAGATGTTTGGTTTGGTTTCTTGAACGTGGTCAAAGAATCTCCGGATGAGAGCCGCCTGCAGCCAAAGTACGGTGACCACATGTTATCACAATGATTCAACCACAGAGCGTTACACTTCAATACTCAAAGGATTTCAACACTTTGAATCGATATTGACAGTTCACATACCTCGTCCTCCTCGTTGAAAACAGTGAAAGGCCCTTCATATTCAGGTTTGGGAGTGAACTCAAAATCTTCAATGTCGTCAGAGACAATCTCCCGGTTTGTGATTAAATACCCCTTTACAAAAAGGGAACACAAAGTTAGTTTAAGACATGAGGATAGAGGGGGTCGTTTTTTCTCATACTGATATTCTGAACAAACTGTGCTGTTGTATTAGCTGTAAAGTGTCTCTACTGTAGGCTACTTTTATTATATGTACAGCACTTTGGCTCGACCAAAAATCGTTTATAAACGTGCTATATAAATAAACTTGATTTGATTTGAAGACATAAATGAATATGGAATAATACTTCTACTTATAAATGCAACTCACCTGTCCATCAATCATGTAGGAGATCATCATGATCTGATCGCTCTCTGCATCCGGGAACTTCAGTGGGAGTTTGGTGGTCTCGATGTCATAAGCCAAAACAACAGGGTCCTATGAAGAGCGAGAAACAATGAGTTGCTGAACTCACAGTCAACGATTAAAACTGAACAAATGACAGATCACATGTGATTTAAATCCTCCTACTGGTCTCTCCACAAGATCATCTCTGCGTATGATCTCTGGGTGGTAAGCGCTGCCTCTGTAGCGAACATTGTACCAGTGAGCCTGAGAAATAAAGACAGCAAAGATAAGAACAACGAACACAAGCATCTCAGAAAACATTGTGAGAACAGTGATCTATACTTACCACGTGGATCTTAAGGTCGATGGACAACCGCATATGATATGGCACATCATACTCTCTCATGTCCACTATGTTGTCTAACTGGTCTGAGATACGCTTTGACGGCCCGTCTTCCTCTGCTGTGTTCACATTTCCACCTGATAAGGCACTGTCAAAAAAACACAGGTGTCAGCAGATCAGAAATGAACCTGAAGTTACAGTTTATTAAAAACTAATGGGAGTGGTGTTACCTTGATAACATGGAGGTGTAGGAGTCATTGGACTGCTCCTTCTCTCTGTTCTTGCGTACTGCTGGAGAGATCTCACGCTTGATCTTCATGAGTTCGTCCACGGTGCTGAAGGACAGCTTGATGTAGCTTCGCTTCAGTCCAACCAGATGGTTCGGCTGAGGAGAGCAGGTAAGAGAACAAAGATTACAATGACGTTGTTGTCCTTCTTTGTTTGTGTTCAACGTTTTTTTGTAATATGCAACACTTTAATGCGGTTCAAGGAAACTAAAAGACCAACCACTCACCAGGTCGAGGTCCTCTTTTGGGATGACTTCAAGCTTCGTCACCTTTCCTTGAAACTTCCTCGTTAAGTATGAGATAACTTCTCTTTCGCAATTCTGTAAATAAAGTCGTTTTTAGGGCTAGAGTTTTTGGAGTGTATATTGCTTGATAAGAACTAAACTTCTGACGCAGACGTACCTTTTTAGTGGCGATGTAAAAGTATGGCTTGAAAGGGAGGGCCACCTACAGATAGGAAACATATCAGGACAGACGAGTTAGAGCGGGGGGGTTTTGGGAAATGTTATTGCATAAAAACTACTGTTTGTTATAAGGAGCCAGTTTGTTTGAAACAGCGGTGTCACAGCACTTGACTTTTCCCTCCCAACTCACCTTAAACCTGCTTCCATCCTCCTGTATGAAATAATAGTCCACAGCACTGATCATCCTCTTGTCATCATCCAGAATTTCAGTCTAAACATAGAAAGAGGAGCAAAGGGTGTCACATTTGTTACCACAATGTTCTACTCAAGACAAAGAAGGCTACAACATGACACAGTGCAAAGACTCACAGGATGCATGTTGATCAGCCAGCCTGTTTTCTCCCCTGGCTCTTTAATCCTGTCGAAACCAAAGCGGGCGTCCATCTCGTCGGTGAACTGGCTGCGCTCCAGACGCTTGAGGGCTGAGGATCCATCGTCCCTAATTCAAACACAGAATAGATAATGTACATTAACCCTTGTGCCTCAATTTGAAACATATTCCCTGGTGTCTTTAGAGGACAAAAATGCATTGTCTAAAAGCTGGCATACATTTCATTTTCCTAATTTACCCTTTAAATGCCTCTTTGTTTACGTTTTGCCACTGTAATAATGAAACAATCCTTAAAATGTACTTTCATTTTTTAGTTGTATTCTTAATGCTAGGGGGGGAGGGGGGGGGGGGGGGGAAGTCATGGGGATAAGACAATGAAGTCTGGGATAAGACAATGATTAGAAACAACATTGATTTTGATGTATTGCATTAAAAAACATAATACAGCAGTATTGCCCCTAGTGGAAACTAGGAAATAACATGTGTTGGCACCACAGGGCAAACATGAGAAATGGCTCAATCTAGTGGAAGATAGTAAGAACTAAAGTTTAAAACTTAAAAGCCTTATGTATTACAATGCATGCATTTTTTATTGTAATGGTCGTGGGATAAACAAATGTGGTTTTAGTGTGTTTATATTTTAAGGGTCTGCTTACATGTATTTTGGTGACAGTTATTAATTTATAAAGAAAATTGATGGAGAACTTCCCAAATAAAATGTTTAATATTTTAGCCTTGCCAAAATGTGTGCTATATTCAATAACACAGCCAAAATGTGTGCCATATTCAATAACACAGCCAAAATGTGTGCCATATTCAATAACAAAGCCAAAATGTGTGCCATGTTCAATAACACAGCGAAAAACGAACAAGTCAAAAATGTCCAAAGTGAGATCTTGTTTTACTTTTGTCATTTCCTAAACTGCCTTAAATAACTAACAGTGTGTTGTGGCTGTCTGGATTAATGTAAAATTAAGCATGTAAGTAACTTTGTAAGGAGAAACAACTCACTGATTGTCCTGTTCTCCCCGACCTTGTCCTCGCTCGTTTTTGTACCGACCATTGTTTTGAAAAACCATCTTCTCTATCGCAGTCTGCAGACCACAACACGGTGGAATAAATTAAACTCCCAATCAGCTTGTTTGAGTTTGTCCGTAAAGTGGCATTTGAAGGAAATTATGAAGTTATATCAAAGGTTTCCTCACTGGTTTTGTCTGTCGCTGTCACAGACCCGACTTGTGTTTTCTTAGTTTGGCGCGCTCCTGCAGTTCCCGCGAGATTAGCGCAGAGGAGAAGATAGGAACAAGAACAAAGATCGTTTATTAAAAGATGATTCACTCAGACCGAAAAACCTGCACCACCAAACATGTAAACGCTGCGTTCATTTGCGATACAGCTCAACCAACAATACGTGATCTTCTAATCGTAGTGCTTTATATTAATCTATATAGTTTTGGAGTTATTGGATGTAAAGAAATCTGCCTTCTCTCAAATAAATGGATCTATATGGCATTTTATTTGTTGTGGTTCTCATCTCAACATGCCAGAATGTATATTTTAGAAACTCAACTATGATGTGTTTTCTCTTCCCAGAAATCATAAAATGGTTAGTCAAGATAATTCACAATTCTCGTTGTAAATCTTCTTTTTACTTGAATTGAAAAATTTAAAATATTAAAATGATTATCCTTTCTATTAAGATCATCAATTTAATTTAACATGAATTTCATTTTTAATATCAGTAGATTTTCCTTTGGTATCTTTAAGGTATTTTATCTTGTATTATCTCTAGTAACATCTCTTCGTGTTATTATTAATGGATGAACGAGTACATTGTTTTTAGTTTATCTTGCATTGTTGCGTTTATCAAAACATTTTTTGAATAATACATTCATTAGTAATAATATTTTTCTATTAACATTTTTTTTGTATCAACTTTTCACTTTATTTATTTTCTTGATTTAACTCAAATTGAACGCAGCTAAAGAGAGACTGACAAGAAAAACTATTTAGATGTTTTCCCCACAGACTCAAACATCTTATTTATACACGATCTTCGGAGCGTTTCCTCTTTCCTGGGAGGAGCTTGAAATCCTCCAGCGAGGAGGAGGAGGGAGAGAGACTGCGGGTGAGTGGCTGTGACATTTCCTGCTGCTGTCATAAAGATTATTCAAACCTTAAAACTAGTAGCAGCCAGTATATGTGGTGGTTTAATATGAATTCATTTCAATTTGTCTGAAGTAATGACATGTGTTTGTAGAGTGCGGTGCTTGAGTCGCAGCTAACTCGATAGCCGTGCAGAAACAACAACAACAACAACGACTGAGCAGTGATGTCCATTATTAGTGGTGAGTGTACATCACATATGTTAACAACAAAAAACCTATTTAAATGTTTATGTAGTGATGTATTACTTGTCGTTTATTTTGCTGACACAAATGTACTTCATGTGTGATCTTAAAGACATGTTCCTTTTCCTGTTTGGTAAACAATGGGAAAGGATAGTTTTTCTGTCGGAATTGACTTGCCTGAACTTCATGTTTGAGTCTTATTTCTGTCACGTATAAGTTCATGATTTCCTGTGAGAAAACCATAGTGCACTGGTATGTGTTTTGCTCAGTTTGCGGGCGATAAGCCAATTTATTCTGGCATTTTGTTTACATTTGACAATCCGTTGAGGTCAGCATGAAGCTTAAGTTACCACACTTTAACTTCATTTATCCTCCTTTGGGATTCAGTGGAACAACTCACTTACTCTTATGCCTTCTACTGTAAATGCAACTTTGAAAGCTTTATCTCAACCCTTCCTTTGTTTCTATAGTGGCTAGAGGACAAACACCTCCTTGTGTCTCTAATGAATGCTTCTTTGGAATGAATGGATACCATATTAACATATTTTTCATTAGAAATACAGACTCAAACTAACATGAGGAATCCAAATTAGTTTCACCCGGATTTCATACTTATATATTCTTAATTTGTGTGTATGTTTGATTTTTCAAATGCTCATTAACGTTGTTTGTGTTTGTGTCTGTGTTTGTGCGTCGCTCTCCTCACACTTCATTCCCTCAGTGTTGACCTTTACTCCATAAGAAGCCGCTCTCACTGCAGCTGTTTCAGGCTGTTTACCGGGCACTGCCGGGGAAATGTAGCCTGCCAGGCCCTGCTGTTATAACCATAACTACACTTCTAAGTGTCTTGATTTGTGGTATTTAAGGACTTAAAGCTGAGTTTAAAAGTAATCCTTTCTACCTTTTGTCGTCTGTCTTTGGTGGTTGAGTCCAACCCTTGAATCTTATCTCAAAATACCCAGCTTGACCCTGTCCCAAAAGACTTCGGACCTCCCTCTTCACCTTGAAGGAACTGTCTTTAGACAAGAATAGTGCACAGACAGCATAATGTTTTATTACTTACTTTTATTAGATTTTATTTGATATCTTATAATATTTTTCACAAAGAACACAAGTCTCTAATTTGTAATCCTTCTGATATTTGACGGCAATATTGATATTTCAGAGACAACTTTACATTTTTTACATAAAAACTATTTTTTGGAGAAAATGAGCCTCTAAGTTGTTACGGAATTTTGAAAATATATTCTAAAATAGGACATTTTACAGTTCAAGAATACATTCATCATTGCTCGTTCTTTCCATTATTAAGATAATCATCAACAAATACACAAGAATGACTTGGAACATGCTCTCAGGCTCACTGTCATGGTGAAAAAGTGAAAAATAAAGTCTTGTTTAAAATAGTCTTTTAAGTCACTTTTGAAAACTCCCTTTTTTAGAATTGCTTTTATGGGATTTTATTTTTATATCCATTTATTCTTAATCTACTTATTTTTGTTTTATTATTTTCTATCTGTTTAACTCTGTGTTTCTATGTTTAGAAGCTGTTGTTTAGTTCACTTGCTCTCTGTGTATTTTGATGTGAGAGCACTTTGTAACTATGTTCTGAAAGGTGCTATATAAATAAAGTTTGTTATTGTCATTATATTATTACAGAAATACAGGCATAGACACAAAAAAAAAGACTCAAACAATAATTGTTTTAATTTTAATTACTGAATACACTTTTATTTTTGGGTGGGTCTTATGAATGATGATAACTTATTGTTGGATAATTTATTTTGCACTAATCATGGCTTATAATATCCATTTTGCTCTTGTTGCAGTCGCAGAAGGATTGTTTGTGAATGCTGCCGTTCGCAGTCTTGGGATTAATCGTATGGATATTATTGTTTCTGTGGAGGATTAATACCAAGATGCTAGCGATGCCCGTGAAAGGAGAGGAATCTCCCCCTGGCTGTGGTGCGCCTGCAGCAGAGGAGGATAAGCCCGCTACACAATCCCCTCATCCGGGGGAACATTCCCTTTCAACAGCTCCTAACGCAGTAACACAAAATGGAGACATCAGTCCTCAGGGAGACAGTAGTCCTGCCTCTACGGGTCTTGAAGTTCAAACAGTGAAGGCTCTGCAGGCGTCCTCTGAGGTTAGTTCAGAAAAGCCATCATTGCGACCGAACACCCAGAGACCTTTCAGACCCAGAGGGCCAATGCTCAGCTCAGGGCCCGAGGACAGGCAACGCCTCAAGTTCATCCTCGGAGCGTCGGAGGATAACTCTTCAGACGAGGAGCCTCTGGTCTCCAAACCTCCCAGCGGCGCAGCTCAGCCCCCGCCCTCCGCCCCCAAACCCTCTCCTGATGTGGCGTCCTCTGCAGCGCCTCAGAACATCTCCCCAGGCATGAAGTAAGACCTTGTTTCTATTTAAGTTCATGTAAACTGTCCGGAGTCAGGCATGTCTTCATCACTCCCATCATCAAAGGTTCAAAGGGCTTTATTGTCATATGAACAGCTAAAGTGTAGATACACAATGAAAAGCTTAAGTCAGAGGGTCCTCCAATAATGCAACATAAATATATATATATATATAAAAAACAAAAGAAAAAAAACAATAAAAATAGTGCAAGAAGAAAAAGAGTAGAAATGCAATAGTGTAAGGCAAGGCAAGTTTATTTATATAGCACATTTCTACACAAGGCAAAGTGCTTTACAAAAATGAAAGAGATGAATAGCATTAAGAAACATATTATGAAATGATATCTAAAAATCACTCATTTAAAAGCAAAGATACATGAATCACAGTTACAGTGCAGTGTGAGATACACACATCTGAACCAACCCCCCTTTGGAAAATTATAATCTGACCCCATGGTACCTTTTAGGTTTTACCGAAACTATGCCTCTTTTTTTATTTTTAAATGCACATTAGTTAAGTTTACCTTGTCTTTCTAGGACTTTTTTGGTNCTGGTACCTTTTAGTTTTTACCGAAACTATGCCTCTTTTTTTATTTTTAAATGCACATTAGTTAAGTTTACCTCGTCTTTCTAGGACTTTTTTGGTGTCCTCCAACCAAAACCAAACCATAACGGCACACGTAGGGGACTTCAACCCCAATAATGACTTCAACCCCAATATTAATGACTTTAACTACCTTTGGGGGGACTCAACACAAGGCAATTCAAAATGCTTTACAAAAATGAAAGACATTAAGAAAATGGCATTAAAAAGCAAAGATAATAAAGTTTACAATGCAGTTTAAGATATGAATATATAAATTAAAAGCAGCGGCAAAAAGAAAAGTAAGAGTTGCAGCGGACCGGCAGGTTTCTGGGAGTTTGTTCCAGATATTTGGAGCATAATAACTGAACGCTGCTTCCCCGTGTTTAGTTCTGACTCTGGGGACAGAAAGCTGACCAGTCCCTGAAGACCTGAGAGTTCTGGATGGTTCATAATTTAGCAGGAGAGCAGAAATGTATTTTGGGCCTAAACCATTCAAAGCTCTATAAACCAGCAGCAGTATTTTTGAAATCAATTCTTTGACACACAGGAAGCCAGTGTAAAGACTTCAGAGCAGGAGTGATGTGATCCACTTCCTTAGTGTCAGTGAGGACTCGAGCAGCAGCGTTCTGAATCAGCTGCAGCTTTCTAATAGATTTTTTAGTGAGACCTGTGAAGACACCATTACAGTAGTCGAGTCTACTGAAGATAAAAGCAAGGAAAAGTTTTTCCAAATCCTGCTCTGACATTAGTCTTTTAATTTAGCTACAAATTCAATGTAAAAATAAATGCCATACAGTGAAATAAAATGCTGTATGTACTGTAATCATGTGACTACTCACAGGCAAAGCCCTTGACCGTGGGGTACAACTCTGACATGTGACGTAAACATGGGAGCATCTTACTCAAATATTAGGAAGGACTTATATAAAAAGAGAGGTTGTTTAGGTCAATAGGATGAATGTTCCTAAATGGTGTTGGTTAGAACATATGGCCACATAGGTGACGTGCTTTTCTGCACTTACTGCTGTCTCTACAAGCTGTGTGTTATCACCTGACTGCATGCAGTTCACGTGCTTTATTGTCGAATGCCAAACACCCCCCGACTCTATTACTGGAACAAGAGCCCACACCAAATGACTTTGAAAACTGTAGTGGGACTCTAGGTCACAACAAGGCAAACAAAAACACTTTTCAATCTTCAACAACTTTTTATTTGTAGCTTTTCTTTTGCAGTCTGAATGTTAGAAAGTTATTTGTATACCCAGCGTTGGTATATGATATGAATCATATCATTTCATCGTGGCTTTGAAGGGTTGTTTGGTGCACATAGCTTCATGCTTCAACCGGACACGCTTGGTTGGACGGATTTACCCTAATGCGTGAAGCTATGCGTGCATGGAACCATCATGAAGGGGAGCAAGGTAAAGGATTGTTGTCTCCCAAATCTAAGCCAAAACATCTTCCTGCACTTTGAAGTCTTGCAGCAGAAGAAGATGCACTTTTAAAAAATGTTAAATAGAAATTAAACAATTTATTTGTACAATCATGCCAGGTTTGAGCCCTTTCATGTCCAACATCTTCGCATTGGATACTGGATACTGGAGGCTTTCTTGTTCTAAGTGAAAACAAATTGAAACTTTTGGTCTTACCCCTTTTGTTGTTTTAGAACAAGGACCCTGTAATATGTCCAAGGAGACCCGTAGAATATAAAGCTGTAAATGTGGGAGGGGAGAAGGGAGGGAGCACAGGAGAGGAAACACTTTGGAGAGTTTTTTGTTTTGGTCGGTCTTACATTTTGAAATCTAGTTTTACTAATAGAGAATTATAAAACAGGTGAAAAAACATATGGAGGAAAACAGCTGGCAGGGTTTGAACTTGTTCCCTTATCTCGGAAGGTAGGTGCTTTTAAGACTTAGATTCTGTCGTTTGTAATTTGATACTTTAGCTGCAGTGTTTATTTAGTGCAAAGCTATGACATGCTTTATGAGCAGAACTAATGGGAACATGCGTCATTACTTTGTATGAAAGGAGAATAGATAGTTCTGGACACATGTCTGTAGACTGAGGATCACTCGTGTTGCCTGACTGTTATGTAACTGAACAGGGCTTGCTTTGGCACACATGAGTTTGAGGAAATACAAAAAAAAAGGCAGTCCGTTAGTGCGTACGTACAGTCTATGGTGCGTAGCCTCTAGGGAAGTTTAAAACAGACCGCAATGACTTACTTGCCAAGCAGTCCAGTGAAACAACAAGAATAGGTCCATACGTTGTTTTAAAACACATAGGCTACTCATTGTTTCAGTGAATGAATTCCTGCCTCATGTCCTGGAAAAGAAGAGATAAATAGTTTAAAGTTCATTTTGGCTCATACAGAGTTACACTCCCACTTCACAACATGGCTCACTGATGCAACACAGGTGTTCTCTCAGTGATATCTCAACATGGCATATCATTTCAATGAAGTCACTTGTGTTGCAATTTCAAAGAGACTTTGGAATGAACAAGGTACGAGCCGGCTGATAATCATGGTGCGTACAATTATACATTGTGTATTGTAAAATGTAAACTGGTGCTTTGCTTTTGTTCTCTTAATGTAAAACAAGCTTTCAAAATGTCTCTTATTGTGTTCTTTGTAATTCTGGTGGGGCTTCCATCATAAAGGACTTTGAACGATTAAATGAAAGTAAAGTACATTTCAGTTTTACTGCCTTTGCTTAAACGTACGTAAATCCGATGAGTTTTAATGTGTAACAATGCAGCTTGTGATGCCTGCAAAATGCTTGGGCTGTTTTTTAATGTGATTTATTACATTGACTTTAACAGCCAGATAGTCTGAAGTGTTTGTTCATGGACTCTGGAAGGAAAGACTCCAGTGAACTATTGATAATCATTATCTGACAACTATGTGGAAATAACCTTATAGCACTTTGTGAACTTAGTTGTTAAAATTACATTATGAAAAGGCTGTAGGCTAACACAAATTAACCCAACGTGAATCAACTTGATCCCAAATTAAATCTGATAATGAGTTTTGACTTCACATTCAGAATCTCAAATAATCAGACATTTAAAGAAAGATGTAATAAACCATATGCATTCAAAAATAAGCATGCACTTAAAGTTTCTTTATTAGTGAACATCAGATAAAAATGTTCACCACAAGCAACAGTGTTGACCCCGGAGTTAATTTCTCTAAAGAGCAGTGTTTTAAGTTTAATAGAAGATAAACTGAAACATAAATAGGTCAATCTATAGTGCGCCTTTGTTCAGGAAAGACTGAACTTTGACTTGGGTTTCATATGTGCAATGCTCTCCTGTTGTTTTATAGTTAACAGTCCTTAACAAGGCGACTAAAAATGAGCTTTCCCCTCCAGGCCTAGCATGTCTGGTCTTCACTTGGTGAAGAAAGGACATAACTACAGAAAGATGGATCAGAGGGACTTCACCGTGGCCTCTCCTGCCGAGTTTGTCACCCGATTTGGTGGCAACCGTGTCATTGAAAAAGTAAGAAGTCCTTCCTGTGTTTTTTGAATTCATTGCAATCGTTGCATCGTGCAGCATTTCTGTCTTTCTTTAGACGAGTCAAGTTGTTTCTATTTCTTTTACAGGTGCTGATTGCTAACAACGGTATAGCTGCAGTGAAATGCATGCGCTCTATCCGCCGCTGGTCCTACGAAATGTTTCGCAATGAGAGGACCATTCGTTTTGTTGTCATGGTAACCCCTGAAGACTTGAAAGCCAATGCAGGTCATTGTGAACTTGATACTTATCAGATTTTATTTCCCAGAAGTTATCTGGGTGAGACTGAGAGATAAGACACTAGGCAGTGTGTCGTTATCTTACGTCAGCTGTCTGACCAAAGTTTTATTGGAGTGATTACCTGAAAGTCTGTACTGAATTATTAATGATCAGAATTGGTTTTATATTTTAATTTGTTAATCTTTTCACTTTTAGAATACATCAAAATGGCAGACCATTATGTGCCTGTGCCTGGTGGAGCCAACAATAACAACTACGCCAACGTAGAGCTGATAGTGGACATTGCCAAAAGAATCCCAGTTCAGGTACTCTTTACAATTTACCTCGAAACAACAAGTGTCTGGTACGCTGATATGTGGTATTCATTTATTTTATCATTTGTTGTTGGGTAACATCATAATCTACCAATTCTCAAGAGCACACTTACGGCCCGTTCACACGGCGGCGTGCGTTGAAGCTTCAACGCTTCTGCCCATTCGCTTTGAATAGGGTGACGTCACGCTTTGCCGAACTGCATTGTGGGAGCGTTGCTTCGCTTTGCTCGCTTCAAAAGTTGAGCAATGTTCAACTTTTGAAGCTTCGTCGGAAGCGTCAGCCAATCAAATCATATGCCAGTACAAGCTCTTGCCAATCAAACCGCGCGCTTGTGTGTCCGGGGCGGGAGATTCATGTGATTCGTTGTTGGTCGAGTTTCAGACAAGCTCGGCAAGCTTCAACGCACGCCGCCGTGTGGACGCTGCGTTAAACACATTTAGAGATAACATGTTCCCTTCAGTCCTACAAATTGTAAAATAAAGTATTAAAAGATTATTATAATGTTCAAAATACTTTACTAATTGTAAATATACACTAAGCAAGCAAAAATAATCTCAAGTGTTTTATTAATTATAATTTAATTTGAACATTATTGAAGTAAATTCTTCTTCTCAACATCTGTGTGTGCACACGGCCCCGCAGTCTCATGGCTTTTTATAGCGATTGGCAGGGCGTTTCCCTAAGCTAATTAAAACCAAATAGCAAATGCTTTCTATTTATCAGGACTTTGGGATTCCTCATGTTGTTATTCTGACAGACCTTTTCAAGAAAAAATGTAACACTTACTTTTGAAGATCAATAAAAGATAACTGGTTGCTCTGTATACCCAAATATAGACGGAAAGTGTGTTTGGGGGCCAAAAAAACAGGATAAGCAGGAATGTGAACTACACTCTAAAATGGAATAAGAAGTAATTACGAGGAAGGAAATATGAAAAAGCCTGTATTGTCGCTAAATCATAAAATCGCTTCCTGACAGAGCCCTACACTGGTAAACAGATGTTGGCTATTGAATAATAAAAGCCACTATGATAAAGGCTTTTTGACATTTCTTTCCTCGTGGTTACTTGTTTTTACATGTTTTAAATACTTACCTGTTTGAAATAAGATATTGGTGCCCAGTGTTCTTTCTTGGCTGTAACCTGTTTTATCTTTGATCCGTGCCTACTTGTTAGTAAAATAAATGTGTGTATCACTTCTAACAGGCTGTATGGGCCGGCTGGGGTCATGCCTCAGAAAATCCCAAACTGCCTGAGCTGTTGGACAAAGCAGGGATATCCTTTCTGGGTAACATTTTGTTTGAAACTGCTTTTATTTTTAAAGGTTTTTATTAGCATCAGAGTCAAATCTTATTTTTAACTGACTGTTTCTTTCAGGGCCATCCAGTCAGGCCATGTGGGCCCTCGGGGATAAAATTGCTTCTTCCATTGTGGCTCAGAGTGCTGGCATTCCCACGCTACCATGGAGCGGATCAGGTGATGCTTTACCTCCCACACTGTCTCAGTTCACATAATGTATACTAACACTATTCTGCTCAGTTTTTGTCAGTGTTGTTATGTTCTCATTCTTCTGTGTCTTGGTGCTCTCAGGTCTGAAAGTGGACTGGGAAGAGGAAGACAATTTTCTGGGCAATGTTATCAGTGTTCCTCCGGAGATCTACACACAGGGCTGCGTTCTTGATGTAGACGATGGGATGAAAGTAAGCATATTAACAAAAATCCTCATACTTAATACTTCAAATTTGCCTATTTGTCCCTGAAACGATTATCTCCTGTCAAATATATTTTGTTTAGTAATGTGATGTTTCTCTGCAGGGGGCTGAACAAATTGGTTATCCGGTTTTTATCAAGGCCTCTGAAGGTGGAGGTGGAAAGGGTATCCGGAAAGTAGAAAACTCTGAGGATTTTCCGAGTCTCTTTAGACAGGTTTGATTTCATTTAATGGCACCTTTTTTATACAGTTGAATTTAATGCTGTTCCTACATCTAAGGTGTTGTTTTTTCTGACTGCAGGTTCAGACAGAGGTGCCCGGGTCGCCCATCTTCGTCATGCAGCTGGCTCAGCATGCCAGACACCTCGAGGTGCAGATCCTGGCGGATGAATATGGAAACGCCATCTCTCTGTTTGGACGAGACTGCTCCATCCAGAGAAGGCACCAGAAGATCATAGAGGAGGCTCCGGCCACGATAGCCTCTGCCTCAACATTTGAGCAAATGGAACGGGTCAGTTTTTTGTCACTGCTTGTTTTTATTATCCAACCTTTATCATGAACTCCTCCTTTAATATTTGGTCTCCTCTTCCTGGCCCAGCATGCTGTGCGGCTGGCCAAGATGGTGGGTTATGTGAGTGCGGGCACTGTGGAATATCTTTTCTCTGAAGACGGGAGTTTCCATTTCCTGGAGCTGAATCCTCGGCTGCAGGTGGAGCATCCCTGCACGGAGATGATTGGAGATGTAAACCTGCCAGCTGCCCAACTTCAGGTAAAAAAAGAGTCGTAAGAATAAAAAAAACACAGGGGTTAAACTAGTCATCCTCCTGCAAATCAAAATCAGAATACATTTATTCGTCCCACAAAGGGGAAATGTCCATATTACAGCAAAAGTAAAGAACCAAAAATAGTTTAATAATAATTAAGAAGCGTGCATTAAATGTTAAAAATAAAAATAGATATTACACGAATTACAATATACCAGTACCAGTAACAGTAACAGTATTTAAAGAAACAAGTGTAGCATGTATTAAATTATTTGATAGCAGCCAATTATAGTATTAAAAGTGGAAGTATATAATATATTATACGTTTTTTACAGATTTATTACAGAAGTTGTATTGTCTAACTTAAGGATAGCAGCCAGTAATAATAATAATAATAATAATAATAATTATGAAGCAGTGTATATATAATGCATATATTGCACATATTCATATTGCTCAAATTCGTGTTATAGTTATAGTCTTGTAGGTTAATATTGTTCCATTTTAACTCTGTGTTTTGTCTCTTCCCTCATAGATAGCGATGGGCATCCCCATTCATAGAATTAAGGACATCCGCTTGCTTTATGGAGAAAGTCCGTGGGCCGACACCATCATAAACCTCGAGAATCCAGAGTGCATGCCAAGTCCAAGAGGTCACGTCATAGCTGCACGCATCACCAGTGAGAACCCCGATGAGGTAGAGCTACATTTCATCAACACTATATTTGTATTTCCTTTTGACTCGCACCACTGACTTTTTAATCGCTGTGCTCTCTCTCAGGGGTTCAAGCCCAGCTCTGGCACTGTGCAGGAGCTGAACTTCCGCAGCAGTAAAAATGTCTGGGGTTATTTCAGCGTGGGGGCGACTGGAGGCCTGCATGAATTTGCAGACTCCCAGTTTGGACACTGTTTCTCCTGGGGCGAGAACCGTGAAGAAGCCATTTCGTAAGCCTCTTCTTTTGATCCAATAATGCTGAGATATCTGCTGTCGCTTTTGACGCAACAGCCAGTAATAATAATAATAATAATAACTTGAATTTATATAGCGCCTTTCATAACCTCAAAGTCGCTTTACAAAGAAACACAAGGACAAGACATAAAACATAAAAATGCCCAGATATTGTAACTGCCCATTATGTAACTGGTAAGAATGCAATGATCTGCCCATTATATAATACAATCTCAGAGGACATTAGGGCAAAATTCAGCTAATGCAATTTTCATGCAATTCAAGGTTGATTCTTAACATTTTTTGGGGCATTTCTTTTTGTAAATCTCATAGAGTACATGTGTTTATCAGGTGTCATATTGTGCTTCAGGAACATGGTGGTGGCTTTGAAGGAGCTGTCCATCCGAGGTGACTTCAGGACCACTGTTGAATACCTCATTAAGTTACTGGAGACAGAAAGCTTCAGAAACAATGACATTGACACCGGATGGCTGGATCATCTCATTGCAGAGAAAGTGCAGGTAGGAGACAGAAGACCGTGTGCTACAAATCATAACACACCCGAGGACTTGGTTTTTTAAGTTTTATATAGTTTGTTTGTTTCATAAAGCATTATACTCTTCTTGCAGGCGGAGAGACCAGATACCATGCTGGGTATTGTTTGTGGGGGTTTACATGTTGCAGACACAAGCTTCAGAAAGAGCATGTCTGACTACCTGCATTCCCTGGAAAGGTCAGTAGACTCTTTCCCTTTTATTACGTTTTTTCAACAGCTGTATGTTTATATAACTGACTTATAAAAACTGCTGCATCTTTAGAGGCCAAGTACTGCCTGCAGCCAGTCTCCTCAACTCTGTCAATGTGGACTTAATATATGAAGGAGTCAAGTTCTGCCTCAAGGTATCTGCTTTATTCCCTTTATACGTTCCTTGTTGAGCTCTTACTTTTTTACTCAATATATCATCTCTTCCTGCCTCCAGGTTTCTCGCCAATCCCCAACAACGTATGTCATCATGATGAACTGCTCCAACATAGAGATTGATGTCCACAGGCTGAATGATGGCGGCCTCCTGCTGTCCTACGACGGCAGCAGCCACACCACCTACATGAAGGAGGAAGTGGACAGGCAAGAGCTCCTCTTTCTCTATACGTAGATTGGTTTGTTTTGTTTCAATATTTATTTTCTGGAATAATGTATCCCTACAGCTACCGAATCACCGTCGGCAACAAGACTTGTGTGTTTGAGAAGGAGAAGGATCCCACGGTGCTGAGGGCGCCCTCTGCTGGGAAACTGCTGCAGTACATGGTGGATGACGGAGGTCACGTGTGTACTGGAGAGATCTATGCAGAGATTGAGGTGAATGAGACAGCTTTTTGGTGAAGTTTATTTTTGTCCAGGGTGTCCGCGGGTTCTTAAAAAGTATTAAAAGTTGATAAATCTATTTAGTGGAAATGAAGGCTATTAAAAAGTATTAAACGGCATTTTCCAAGGTATTACATTTTGTAGCTTGTTTTCAATAAGTATATAAATGGTCCAAAGAGGTTGTATTCTACAGTGTGCCTGAAAGGAATCATTGCGTAGGTGTGTAGTGTGATTCTGTGTAGTTTATTTATGGCATCCCGTTGGATTTGACGTCATCTGAACAGGACATCGCACGCTCACTGGTTCCGTTTACGCCGGTTGTTAAACAACATCATTATGGGGAAATGCAAGTTTGCGTCCAAATGGTTGGTAAAGTGTGTCGCCAAGGTAACCGGTTAAAACTCCAAGTGGCGATGAGGTCTTAAAATGTATGGAAAGGGTCTTAAAAGGTCTTAAAAGGTATTACATTTGACTTCAGGATTCCTGCATATACCCTGTTGTCTCTCTTTGCCATATTTATTGACATGCCGTTGATCTGTGGTTTCAGGTGATGAAGATGGTGATGACGTTGACCGTGCATCAGTCTGGTTGTGTCAACTTTGTAAAGAGACCTGGAGCGGTTCTTCAGCAGGGCTGCGTGGTGGCACGTTTAGACCTGGATGACCCCAGCAGTATACACCGGGTAAAATAATAAAAAAACAGAATTAAAAGTGCTCAAATTGTTCTCCTTCACTTCTCATGCTTTTGAATTTTCACCTCCTGTCATAGGTGGAACTCAACACAGCCATACTGCCACCCCAGCAACCACTGCCTATTGTTGGGGAAAAGCTTCACCAAGTGTTTCACTGTGTGCTCGAAAACTTGATTAAAGTCATGGGCGGCTTCTGCCTGGAAGAGCCATTCTTCAGCCTTAAGGTACACAGCAGGCTTTCTGCCTCTAGAGATGCTAGGAACACTCACCCATACTACAAAATACTTTCTCCTCTACCTGTAGGGATATTTATCCATCTAGATTATTTCGAGATACTGACCGTAGAGGTGTCTGCCTTCTCTGGAATACAAGGAACTAGATGGCACACAGCTTGTGTTCCTAAAAGCACCAACAAATTCATTTGAAAAACTCAACAGAAATCTATCTTTTGAGAAAATAATGAGCTGGCTCCTCGGTGGCCTCTCGCTGGAGGATGTGTTTTCTGTTCAGAAAACAAAAAAATGAAACTGCTGACAGCTATGTCTGTGTATCAACTTGAGTTACCAAAAATGATTTTTGAAAGAGACATTGCCGTTAAAGGTCCCATGTCATGGCCATTTCCACTGACCATAATTCCATTGTTGAGGTATACTAAAATAGAAGAATACTGTGCAATTTTCCAAACTCACATTGGTTTCGCATACAGCATCTCTGTAAAGTATGTGTATTCAGCAGTATTCACTTTCTCCACTAAACGGCTCGCTGCAGCTCCCGCCCTCCCTGTGAGCCCAGTGTGCTCTGATTGGTCGGTACGAATCGCCTGCAGCCAGGGAGGGAGAGATCAGCAGAGCTGCATGCATTGAGTGTGTGTGTGGATTGGTCCATTTGGACCAATCAGCGGGGGCTTAACGTAACGGCTCCGCGGACGTAACGTAACGGCTCCACGGATTGGCCCATTTAGTTCCGGGTACGTGCTTTCGTAAGCACGTACCCAGAAGAATCAAATGGATGATGACGTCATGATGACGTTTCACCAACGAGGCGTTTTGGGGAGGTATTTTCTGTTTTAGAGTTTTACTCGCTACAGGGTGAACTTTAAGGGTTTTGACTCTGCACACCGTTTACATGCAGAAAAACCTTCATAACACACAAGGGGACGGGTAATAACCGGAAAAGCATGACATGGGACCTTTAAGTGTTTTTATCCTATGTGCATGTTACATTACATTGCATTCAGCTGACACTTTTATCTAAAGCGATGTGCAATAAGTGCAATAAACCATTAAGATTCAAACTAAGGACAACAAGCACAGTGCTGACATATTCACTTCAAACAAGCAAGACTATTGTACGTGCTGGTGCGTAAATTAAACTCTGAAGTGCTGCTTTTCTTTTCTTTGTTCCTGTCTGCAGCTGAAACTGTGGGTGGCTTCTCTGATGAAGACTTTGCGGGACCCCTCGCTGCCGCTGCTGGAGCTGCAGGAGATCATGACCAGCTTGGCGAGCCGCATTCCCCCCAGTGTGGAGAATGACATCCGTAAAGTCATGGCCCAGTATGCCAGCAACATCACCTCGGTCCTCTGCCAGTTCCCTAGCCAACGAGTGAGAGATGTTGCAGTTGTTCAAGTTCTTTAAATACATATAAATACTGTTGGTGATTTAATCGGATGATGTTTTTCTGTTCAATCCAGATTGCAAATATTCTAGACAGCCATGCAGCAACCCTACAGAGGAAGGCTGACCGAGAAGTGTTCTTCATGAACACTCAGAGTATCGTTCAGCTGGTACAGAGGTTAGTGTTATCCTTGTTATTGTCCGATGCAGATTGTACAGAAGTAATACATTCAATATTAAACAATATTGCATCCATTGACACATGTTTGACCATGTCTTATCCAGGTACCGCAGTGGGATTCGTGGTTACATGAAGTCTGTGGTTCTTGATCTGCTGAAGCGATACCTGCAAGTGGAGATGCAGTTTCAGCAAGGTAACACCAAACTCTAGATGAAACATTTACTTGAATAACTGTGGTTTGTTTGTCATCACTAATGTCACTGTACTCACAACAGCTCACTATGACAAGTGTGTTATCAACCTGAGGGAGCAGCACAAACCTGACATGAGTCCTGTGCTGGATACATCTTCTCTCATGCCCAGGTCTTCAAGAGAACCTCCTAGTCACAATGCTCATAGTAAGGCTTCAGCACTTAACATGCATAAATGAATCCTTCAACTCATAAGGTTTATGAAGACACTTTGAACTCTGTGTAGGACCAGCTGTGTGGACGGGATCCCATGCTAGCTGACGAGCTGATGGCCATTCTGAACGAGCTAACGCAGCTTAGCAAGATGGAGAACTCCAAGGTGGCTTTGAGAGCCAGACAGGTAATAACAGTATCTGGTAAATGTCAGTTAAACATTACCCTGATTGTGTAAATACATTGTTTAATCATGTTGATCTAGCAGACAGGACACCTCAAGTTGGATTCATGTTATATTTTTGAGTTCATCAGATTTGTCTCAGATTTCTTTTTCTTTTTTTACAAGTCTTTTTATTTCATTATAGTGTACAGTAATCGATGCCATTTCATATATATTTTAATATCACAGTACACTCACTACACTCCCCCCCTCCCTCCCCCACCCGCACATGCCCACACGGGCGAAACCAAAAAAAAAATGCTTATCAATATAACTTAAACAACAGAGCCATGAAAAATGAAAATAAAAAAAAAACGGAAAAAAATAAATAAATAAACCCACATCAAAGTAAAACAAACAGATAATTATACAATTAAATACACATGTCTCAGATTTCAAGAAATAATGCATCCTTTTTTTTAAAAACAATTTCTATCATCTGTATAGACTTGTTATTATATTTGTAAATGTACCCCTAGGTCTTGATTGCCTCCCATTTACCATCGTACGAACTGAGGCACAACCAGGTGGAGTCCATCTTCCTGTCGGCCATTGACATGTACGGCCACCAGTTTTGTCCAGAGAACTTGAAGGTTAGCTTTGTGTGGAGAAATGCATTTGTCATCATACATTTTCAGCAGCTTAAATATCAACGTGATATTTGTTTTTTCTTTGACACAGAAACTCATTCTCTCCGAAACCTCCATTTTTGACGTTTTGCCCAATTTCTTCTATCACACCAATCAAGTCGTCTGCATGGCTGCCTTGGAGGTACGGTCAGAGTCATGTCTTATTTTAATGTCTTTTTATTCCTGAATAAGTGGCACTCACCTCTTGGTACCGCTTTACAATAAGACCCTTATAAAGGTTTTATGAATAGTTTGTAATTCATTTATTAATTAGGTTGTGAACACTTTATAAATCTTTAATAAGCTTTTATAAGACATGAGATAAACAGGGCAACTGTGACCGGTTGCTTGCCAAATAGTGAGCCCACATGTATCTGTACTGCTAAGCCTTATATTGGCTACTTAGCTTACTTCATCTCCTTCATCAGCCAGCATCCTTGGTATCTTTTGTTCACTGAGTTGATTCTCGCTAAGTAGCCAATATAAGGCTTAGTCATCTTGCCAAATAGTGAGCCTGTGTTGACGTATGCCTATGTTAGAACTTGTTTATAAATGGTTCTTAATGATTAATAAAGTGTTTACAACCTAATTTATAACCTAATTATGAACCCTTTATAAGGGTAGTCTTATTGTAAAGTGGTACCCACCTCTTTTATCTTGACGTTCAGGTGTATGTGCGCAGAGCTTACATCGCCTATGAGCTGAACAGCATCCAGCACCACCAGCTGCAGGATGGCACATGTGCTGTAGACTTCCAGTTTATGCTGCCAACATCACATCCCAACAGGTAAACCTTTAATACAGTAAACACAACACCACTGGGCAGGATTTCAACTGAATACACATATTTTGAATAGAATAATACCTCACTTGGTGGCTGTTTATTAATGAATCAAGGTGGTACAATACATTCTTTAAGTTTCCTCTTTAGTCTTCTGTACGACATTGGCCTGATAGACATGATAAATATGGAAATAAATATAATCCTGTACCCAGTGGTGAAGGTGCAGAGCCTGTAAACTGCTGCTCTAACTGCTTATGGCTATCACTGAAGGAAGGATGCTCTCATCAACGGGACAATGATATGCTTGTGCCAGCATCTCAAAAGCTTTAATCTAATCGTAATGCCTGGAGGTACCGTTTGATCATCCACTGCTAATATTCACTTGTCAATCATCTGATTTCAGAGGGAGCAGCCCTACTCTGAACAGGTAGAGTAAAGCTCCTCCCAACCAGCCAAAGCACCTGATCGTGTGTGTCTTACTGCAATGCATGCAGAATGCGTTGCTTCTTTCCTCCGGTCTTCTGAAACCAGGAACCTTTGCTTAAGGACTCCTCTAACAAGTCCTTTTTAATTCACTTCACAGCTTTCCATATATTTCTCTTTTTGTTGCTTAGCAATACTGAGCTTTTTGAGAGGTTCATCTTTTTTCTCCCTACTTTCTTCTTAAAAACTTCACGCCTGAGACATTGTTGACTGAAATGAATTCTACAGCGTCATAATTCAAGAATTGCATCTCTCAATTACAGTAGATATGGTAACAATTGCTCGATAAACATTTGGACTCCCTTTCAATTCAATATATGAAATGAACCTATGGTACTTTTTATCAAATGAATACACTGAGAACATCCAGTTTTGCTTTAATTGCTCTTTTTACAAATATTTAGACTCTTACTGTTCAGTGTTTTTTCTAAAGCATCCTTGATTGAATCGAATTTTGCCAACGATCTGATCGTGAAATGTTTCTGTCTTGCTGTCACTGTCTATGTGCATCTCTTTCTCAGGTGTCCCGTTCCAGTGAGCGGATCAAGCGTGTTTAAAATGAGGCGTCAGAGCAGTGAACTTTTCCTGGAGGGAGCCTTGTCTCCACCCTGCCAGCGCATGGGAGCCATGGTGGCTTTCCAGTGTTTTGAAGAATTCAAAAGGTCACTTTTTACCTGATTACAATCTTCTTTTGCTCCACTTGTCCAGGTGTGTAGATAAAAGCAAAAGAAATGACGAGGTATTTCTTTTTTTTTGTGCAGGAATTTTGATGAAGTTCTCTCCAGCTTTGCAGAGCCACCCTCAGAGAGCGCTCCGTTCACAGAGTCCTGCTCCAGCCTCTTTGAGGAGATGAACTCCAGGGTGAGTGCTGATGGCGTGTGAGGGTCACTCATTTCCAATAAAAGGGGATGTTTTTATGTGTGTTGTTCCAGCAACCAATATCTCCTCCATCCCCTACAGAACACGAGGGAAAACCCAATCCACATCATTAATGTGTCCATAAAAACAGCAGACACTGAAGACGACGATGCGTTGGTTTCAACCTTCACTGCCTTTGCCGAGTCAAAGGTCAGCCGTCTTTTAACACAGGACTGTTGTCTTTGAATGTGAGATATTGTTTCTGTCTGTCTTTAGTTCATTATTTAAAAATGTTTTACAGAAAGCTGTCCTCTTTGAATATGGAATCAGGAGAATCACATTTTTGATTGCACAGAAGGTAAACAACAACAACTTCCTTATTATTACACAATGTCATTGGGTCCATTCCCTGTATCACAAACATACATGTATTTATATCTATAACCATAAACGTTTCTTGACTTTTTTTTACAAGTTTAACTTAACAAATTCTTGTAATGTCTGCTGGAGGTAAGCATACTGTTGTAGTTCATATCTTTTTGACTAAATATGATTTAGTTGCTGCTTCCCAAAGCTGCCAATACAGGTTTTGTCAAGTAAGCTTGCTTAGTTTCTGATTGTTATTCATTTGATATTTCGTTTCAACAGAGAGAATTTCCCAAGTTCTTCACTTTCAGAGCTCGAGATGGGGTACGTATTTCTTCATTGAACCTTTTTATGGTAGACGTGGTCATCAGAGTGCAGTTATTGAGTTTGCTGCTGTCTGAGGAGATGATGACCCTCTAATCTGTGTCTGTCTTCAGTTCAAGGAGGATCGTATTTACCGTAACCTGGAGCCGGCTTTAGCTTTTCAGCTTGAGCTCAACCGCATGAGGAACTTTTACCTGAAGGCCGTTCCCTGCGCCAACCACAAGATGCAGCTGTACCTCGGCGCTGCTCGCGTCCAGGAGGGGGCTGAAGTCACGGACCACCGCTACTTCATACGAGCTATTATCCGCCACTCAGATCTCATCACAAAGGTAAGCGGCTCAACTGGAAAGTTCAGTTTATTGATTCTGACTACTTGTTAGGTCTTTTATATTGACTGTTTTTCCAAAGATTAAAACATTTCTTTGTAATATTTGGTCAGTGGAATGTTTTGGGATTGATTGAAATACATTTTATTCCCAAACAGGAAGCCTCCTTTGAATACCTTCAAAATGAGGGTGAACGTCTTCTGTTGGAGGCCATGGATGAGTTGGAGGTGGCCTTCAGTAACACCAGCATCCGCACAGACTGCAACCACATCTTCCTCAACTTTGTCCCCACTGTCATTATGGACCCCTCTAAAGTCAGTGTCTAGCTAATCTATGCTACTATAGTGCAACGTTACAAGTGTTGTTATTCATGGTTGCGTACAGTTCTCCGAATTAGCTTTTGTTTGAGAGATCTCTTTTTATGTCTACTTAGATATTTACATAACTTTTCTGATAAGTACAATTATTTCTCAGTGGTGTTTTTAACATCCATTTCCTCTTTTTGACACTCCCAGATAGAGGAGTCTGTTCGCTCCATGGTGATGCGCTACGGCAGCCGTCTCTGGAAGCTGCGGGTCCTGCAGGCTGAGCTGAAGATCAACATCCGTTTGACTACAACTGGGGACGCCATTCCCGTCCGTCTGTTTCTTACCAATGAGTCTGGCTATTACCTGGACATTAGCCTTTACAATGAGGTCACTAACCCCTGTTCTGGACAGGTAAGGACAGTTGACTGAGGTAGCCTAGTTCAAGCTGTTTGTTAAAGCTAAATATGAACCAAAAGACGAGGCAGGAGATACATTGTTCATGTAATTGTATAATGTTTGCATTTTCATGGTCAAATAAATCCCTAACTCCTCTTTCCAGATCATGTTCCAGTCATATGGAGATAAGCAGGGTCCTCTGCATGGCATGCTGATCAACACTCCCTATGTGACCAAAGACCTGCTGCAGGCCAAGCGCTTCCAGGCTCAAACTCTGGGGACAACATACGTCTATGACTTCCCTGAGATGTTCCGACAGGTACTAAGAACGAGCCGTATCGGGTTTATTTCCATTTTGAAGTTCAAGGTGTCTGATTTCTGCTGTAAATCTTTCCTGTAGGCATTATTCAAGCTGTGGGGTCCGGGGGGAAAATGCCCTAAAGACGTGCTGATGTGCACCGAGCTGGTTCTGGACCCTCAAGGTCAACTTGGGCAGATGAACCGCCTGCCTGGAGACAATGATGTAGGACACTTTTTTTTAAAGCATGTATGTCAGTTCATACTCTTTCAGTGTCATGATGCTGATCATTACTGTAACCATCCTTCACCAGGTGGGGATGGTTGCCTTCAGGATGAATATGAAGACTCCAGAGTACCCACAGGGCAGAGATATCATCGTCATCTGCAACGACATCACGCACACGCTCGGCTCATTCGGTCCTCAAGAAGACGTGCTGTTCCTCAAGGCGTCTGAGTTGTCTCGGGCCGAGGGCATCCCCCGCATTTACATCGCAGCGAACAGTGGAGCACGCATCGGCCTCGCTGACGAGATCAAACACATGTTCCAGGTGGCCTGGGTTGACCCCTCTGACCCCTACAAGGTGACCCCTGAAACCTTTGAATTACACCCTATTATAAAGTAGTTGAGGAAGTACTGAAGCAGTATTTGCTGTATATGCGGTTTGACGTTTAATATTATGATATTTCCATTTCTCTCCAGGGTTTCAAGTACCTTTACCTGACACCGCAGGACTACACACGCATCAGCTCCACCAACGCTGTTCACTGCCACCATGTAGAGGAGGGTGGAGAGTCCAGGTACCAAAACTCATTGGCTGTTTGTATTCATAAAGGATTTAATTCAGATTATTTTTTGGAGTCTGTTGGACAACCACCACGGCCCCTGGTAGACCCTCACACAATACAGACTCTTGAGATCTTGTGCAATACACCTTAATACACTTTTTTCGGCAATTCTACTCGGCAATAACCATAATATTTGTATGTGCAAAACAGAATTTTTGTAGTATCTCAAACCTTAATATGTTCACCTAACTATTTAAATGCTGCCACTCAGTTTCTAGCCATAGATGAGTACTTATTTGAATGTTTTTGTTACTTATGTGTGCTTTTTTTCTATATTTAACATGTTAGCTACTTTATTATTCCTTGCCTTTTATCTGCCATGTCACTTTTGCTGTAGCGCCCTGATTCTGATAATAGAGACTAGTTTCTTCTTTGTCTTCCTCACTGTTCCCACCTGTGTTGCAGGTACATCATCACTGACGTCATCGGGAAGGACGACGGTATCGGGGTGGAGAACCTGCGAGGTTCTGGCACCATTGCAGGAGAATCCTCTCAGGCCTATGAGGAGATTATTACCATTAGTATGGTGAGACTGTGGATCTAATTTCTCTCGAGTAACAGTAACCATGTGACCCTTTGGAACATTTTACTGACTCAGTTTCTATGCTCTGGCAGGTGACGTGTCGTGCTATCGGAATCGGAGCTTATCTGGTCCGTTTGGGACAGAGAGTGATTCAGGTGGAAAACTCTCACATTATCCTGACTGGGGCAAGTGCTCTTAACAAGGTCAGTGCGTTTAAAAAAAATTCACGTTTATTGTTGAATGGAAAGTATTGAAATCTAAATAATTAGTTTAGGGGGTGTTTTAGAAATTACTGTATGTGCATGATAAAGGCAAACAAAAATTAAGGCAAAATTAGAGGGACATACATAGCCAATCAAAAAGGCAGATTACTCACACATTTAACCTCTATTGTGAAGATATCTAATGGACTCTGGTCACATCAGGCCAGGTGGAAAAGATCAAAGTATTTGTTTCTGTGTAGGTTCTGGGCCGAGAAGTTTATACCTCCAACAACCAGCTGGGAGGGATCCAGATCATGCACAATAATGGAGTGACTCACACCACCGTGCCAGATGACTTTGAGGGCGTCTTCACCATCCTCAAGTGGCTCTCCTATATGCCAAAGGTTCGGCTGAATGTGTGAAAGTTCATGTAATGTAGTTTTTAGGTCTATATAAAAGTAGCCCAACTAACTCTTGATCTCTCCTCGCTACAGAACAAACACTCCCCCGTGCCGGTCATATCGACTACAGATTCAGTAGACCGAGAGATAGAATACACTCCGACCAAAGCACCGTACGACCCACGCTGGATGCTGGCGGGGAGACCTCACCCCAGTGAGTGCAGAGATGTGATGTAAAGCTTGATATTGCTTAGTATATCAGTCTGGTTAATTTGCTTTTTGTCTGCTTTATTAGCGGTGAGAGGGGCCTGGCAGAGCGGATTTTTCGACCAGGGCTCTTTCATGGAGATCATGGAGTCTTGGGCTCAGACAGTGGTAGTGGGCAGAGCACGGTAAGTGGGTTGACTCTGAATGCATGCACAATGTTCTTACAAACCTTACACCGTATGTATTAATGAACTCTGTTGAATGCTAACAGGTTAGGAGGAATTCCCCTTGGTGTCATTGCTGTTGAAACTCGCACAGTTGAGTTCACCATCCCAGCAGATCCAGCCAACCTGGATTCAGAATCTAAAGTGAGTCCATTTTTTCCACATTTCTGATTTAAACACATTACATCACAGTTTTTCAACAATGCTCATTCTTTCTGTGTGCTGATGTCAGGTTCTGCAGCAGGCCGGCCAAGTGTGGTTTCCAGATTCAGCTTTTAAAACGGCTCAAGTTATTTGTGACTTCAACCGTGAGGGTCTGCCTCTCATGGTGTTCGCCAACTGGAGGGGCTTCTCTGGTGGGATGAAAGGTATTGGATGAATATAAAACTTTGCAAAGAAAGTTGTTTTTTTGGATTTTGTTTTTATGCTTTTTCCTATTTTACTCCCAGATATGTACGACCAGATACTGAAGTTTGGGGCCTACATCGTGGACGCCCTGCGTGCTTTCCATCAGCCGGTGTTAGTGTACATCCCACCTCACGCTGAGCTGAGGGGGGGGTCGTGGGTGGTGATAGATCCCACCATCAACCCACTGTGTATGGAGCTCTATGCAGACAGGGAGAGCAGGTACATGAAGCGTTCCTGTATATTGTTATTATAATAATGGTTGCTTTACCAACCTAAGCAACAGGTGTGTGTGACAATAACATGTTTTTGTTGCCTCCCTGTTGTGCTTTCTCAGAGGTGGTGTGCTGGAGGCTGAGGGAACAGTGGAGATCAAATTCAGGAGGAAAGACCTGCTGAAGACCATGAACAGACTTGATTCAGTCTATGCTAGTCTGGTTGAGCAGCTTGGTAAAGGTAATTTCTTTCTTAATTCACTTGGACGACTTTCATTAAATGTTCTTTTGAATTCCCATCCAACTGATACATCAATGGCAAGTCACTCGTTAACTCTCTTCTGTTTTCCTCAGCTTCTCCAGCGCTGTCTGACAAACAGAGCAAAGAGCTGGAGTCAAAGCTCAAAGCCAGGGAGGAGTTCCTGTTGCCCATCTACCACCAGGTGGCGGTGCAGTTTGCTGATCTCCATGACACCCCGGGGAGGATGCAGGAGAAGGGTGTCATCACGGTGAGTGTAACATTAGTTTAGAGGTTGGAGAAGTCCTCAGATCTTGTACCTAAGTAAAGGTTTAAGTACCAGAGTTTAGGAATACTCTTTTAGAAGTCAAAGTCCTGTAAAAATTTTTTTGAAAAGTATAAGCATCAAAATATACTTAAAGTACATAAAAGTGCTCATTATGCAGATTTATCCATTTCAGAACAATATATTATATGTTTTGATTATTGTATTAAAGGTGCAGCTAGTTTGAATGACTTTGTATACTGCAGGGTAGCTTGTGAATTTACTCCAGGTGGAACTAAAGTCTTATTTAAGTGTTGATTACATTTCATATCATTAATCCAAATCTACAAAGTAGTGAATTGTAATGGGGTTGAAGAACAAAGTAGGTAAAAATGTAAATACTCAAATATAGTTCAAGTATCTCAAAATTGTACTAAATTACAGTACTTGAGTATGTTACTTTACACCACTGCATTAGATGCAGAACAAACGTGTATTTAGAGAAGATTGGTGCTTTTAATAACTCTGTTTCACGGGGTTTCTCTGACAGGATATTTTGGACTGGAAGAATGTGCGGACCTTCTTCTACTGGCGTCTGCGTCGGCTGCTGCAGGAGCAGGTGGTGAAGCGGGAGATCCTGCAGGCCAACAAGGACCTGAGCGACGGACACATGCAGTCCATGCTGCGCCGCTGGTTTGTTGAGACAGAAGGAACAGTCAAGGTATGTTTAATCAGCCGGAGACTTCTGTCAGCTGAAGAATGGCTCATAGGTCAATATCTGTTTATCACTGTGAAGCATACATACTGTGTCGTAAAAAGCTTTTACATGAATCAAGTGTCAGTCTTTGCCTGTGCCCTGCATATCATTTGGTTATTTTAGTTCTTTCAGCACTCTGTTGGTAACACTGATTAGAGATTCAAACATGCTTCTTTCTGCTTCTCCAGGCCTACCTCTGGGACAATAACCAAACAGTAGTCGAGTGGCTTGAGAAGCATTTGACCAACGAGGAAGGCACTTCAGGAATAAGAGAAAACATCAAGTACCTGAAAAAAGAAAACACTTTGAAACACATCCGCAGGTATGAAGAAAAAAATCACATTTGGTGACCTATTGATGTGGTCTTTTTCCATTGCTATAATCTTATCAATGCAGAAAAGCAATGTGTCACATCTTAACAGATATTACATTAAGATTCAACAACACAGAGCTACATCGTAGACATAAATAAATGAAGACTAGCCAAGAGAGTCCCTATCACTCATCAGTTTGGTCATATTTAGCTAACGCTGCCTGAGGAATGAAACTCCAGTGTCGACTAAATACCTGAATCTTAATTTCTCATATAGTAGATGTTGAGACACATGCTGGTCTTGGCTAGGTAATCTAATGTTGATTACTGATATCAACATTATATTATATGGCAGACAACTTACTTCATGTGCAAACAGACTTAAATACTCTCTCTCTACATTTACAGCGCTCACAAGTTTTAATATCTTTAAGCTTTAAGTGTGTATTATTATGTTCCTCTTGTGTTGCAGCCTGGTGCAGGCTAACCCTGACGTAGCCATGGACTGCATCATCCACATGAGCCAGAATATCACTCCCTCCCAGCGGGCCAAGCTCTCACATCTGCTCGCAACTATGGACAGCACCAGCACCAGTTAAGCTGAGAACCTTTATCCGGTTACTTTATTGATAAGAACCAAACAAGATATTGTAGTTGGTTGTATTGTAAAAGAAAAGAGGTGGAAAATGCACCTTTTTTAGAGTTCTAGTTGGGGCATTTATTTGCACACATGCACAAAGTGACTTGTTCCTCACTCAACCACTACAATGCTCTTACTGCTGTAAACAATGCGGTTGAATGGCTTCGTTGCAGGGCCATGGTCATCCGTGCCAGTCTTTGTCTTTTACATTTGACGTTAGCGGTCAGTCATTTCAGCTCCTCGCTCCGGGAACTTCGTGGATCACAAACTGCGACTGTAATGAACATTTCACTGGGCTGTATTTGCACATGGCAGTTTGTCAGTGTTACATGTGCCTTGTTCAGTCTAATCAAGCCAGATCTGTTCAAACTTGATGAAGTGCCGTTGGTTCAATTCGACGTATTAAATAGAGAATTGGTATTAAACGCAAAGGTGGCTTGAACAACTGATTATATTTTGTAAGATTTCCAATTGAAAGTAAAAATGAAAAAAAAAGAAGAAATTAATTGATTGATGATTTCTGAATTGACTGACAATGTTTTTATTGTAATGCAGAAATGCACATGTAGTAACTAAAACGTTTTTGCCAGTAATAAGTATTATTATGTCCATCTTTATATTGTCATTTTCAGTCTGTTTATTTGTATTGATGCTGTAGTGTTGTGTGTGCTAAGACTAAGATATGAATGTTAGGAGTTACTGCGACATTGCATGTTATAATTATGAACTTTTCTTTCATTTGTTGGTGTTTCTCTGATATAATGCAGTAATTCTCAAGACTCAGGTTGTACATTAATTTCAAAAATGGGCCCTCAAGTGATGGCTTAATTTAGCTCACCTCTGATCAAAATATCAGCCTTGACATTTCATCTGAATGTATATATACTCTCTTCTGTGTGATCTACTAAAGACTGTTTGTTAATAAATGTCATTCATATATTTTTGGCAAAACAAACTTATTTTATTCCCCATTTGATTTTTATTATGATCAAGTTAATGAACATAATATACATCTGACTTTGAGACATGTTATTCACATTGTGTAAAATAATAATGTGTAAAATCTGGATTACTCAAAATGTTGGCACACAATGGCATTTTGGAATGAAGTGGGTAAACTCAGTCAAAAGAAAGCTTTTCTGTGGCGATAGCAATTTGAAACATTCAAATATATACAGCAAAAGATTGCTAGAGTCATCACCTTCTCCAGCTGCCTTTTCATAAATATAAATAAAACATCACAGCAATAATGTCTAGCACAATACAACAGACAAGAGACGGGAATCTACAGTATGTTAGGGCTTTACAACGCAGAGAGAAAAACTTGAGGACGCTAAAGCGTACATCTCCACATAATCTTTGTACTCATGCAGGCTTTGAGTCTTCCCTCGGCAAAGCTAGGTATCTTAAATCTTACATATTTTCTTTCTTCTTAATCTTCTTCTCTTAATTTATCAGCAGTTTTAGTTCTTAGTGAGCACTTGTGGGCTTTATGTGAAGTGATTTGTGAAGTAGTTCCCGGCTGACTGTAGGAAAGCAGTTTGATTTGTACTTGTAGGAGCACAAAATAATTCAGATTTTGACCTCAGTTGGCTTCCACAGATATCCAAAGACGGTTGAATAAATCAGGTCGACTCTGTTTGACACAGTTCATCTGCTTCATAACAGGGCGATGGGCTTGTTGTTGGCCTGTGCACCCATATACTGGGAGGCCAGGTGATCCTGGGTGGTGTAGGCGGCGTAGAGACCCGTCACTTGCACATCTGACAGCGGCAGGTTTGCTCCGTTGGACATGGGAGTCAGGTGGGCTGTTCCCAAGTCACAGTCTGATAGTCGGAGGGGCGAGTTACTGAAGGTGCCCAAAGCATCCAGGTTAAAGCTGTCGTCCTTCATTTCCTCCCACAGATTACCTGAGCAGATGGAAGGAGAGGTTAGTATACTGATGGAACAACACTTCTATTTTATTGTTTTTAATTCTTTTGTTTTATGTTTTTATAAGATAAAATAAGAAAATAAGTATTTTATTCATCCCAATTTGGGAAATGTTTGCATTGCAGCAGCATAAAAAGACAAGGCATTGTATATTAGAGAAATGAAAAGACTAGAAATAGACAATCCAAAATGTAAACTATCATTAAAAAAAGTAAAAAATATACATGTGGAAATACAACATTATACATGTTATGCTGCATTGTTGGAGGAGCCTGGGTCTTAAGTTTTTCATTGCCATATCTACACAGTAGCTACCGTGCATATGAAAATAAAGCCTTTGAATTATATAGCAAACTTAAAATAAAATGATATTTAAATAATGTGTTTACCTTGAAGGGCAAAGTCCATGATGCTGGGGTCCAGTGCGTCCACCTCTGTGTGCGTATCACCGTGCACGATGTAGAAGTCTTCATGCTGCTTGTTGGAGTGCTGGGTGAGTGGACTGTGGCAGAGGTCAGGGACGGTGTGGAGGGGGGGTGTCTGGGCCGGGGCTGGGGACATGGGGGCGAGGCGGGCCTGAGCGTGGAGCTGGGCCTGGAGCTGGTGGTGCTGGTGCATGGGTAAACAGGGCAGGGACAGCGTGACAATCGGCTGAGGCTGCATCTGGGACGGGACGGACAGCGGGAGGCCGGAGGGACAGCTGGGGAGGCGGGTCATGCCGGCCTCTAAAGCCTTACGCCTGCAGTTCTCTGGGCGGTCTGTGATCAGTTTGTCCAACTCATCTGCAGGGAGAAAAAACGATTATCAGACAAGGTGAAATTATTTTGTCAGATTTTATTGACTTGGGTGGGAGAAGTTCTCAGATCTTGTACTTAAGTAAAAGGAGAAGTACCAGAGTGTAGGAATACTCTGTTACAGGTAAAAGTCCTGCAATCAAAATGTTACTTGAGTAAAAGTACAAAAGTATAAGCAGTAAAGTACTCATTATGCAGATTGGCTATATAGAATAATATATATGATATGTTTTGGTTATAATTATATTGTATTGATGTCGTTTTAATCACTTTGTATGCTGCAGGGTAGCTTGTGAATGTTACTCCAGGTGTAACTAAAGTCTTATTTAAAGTTGACCTATCATGCTATATTTGAATAATATAGTGTATGACCATACCTATATAAGGCATATTTATACTTTTTATTTTTCAAAATACCAAACAGATCATGCATTTTAGCCATTCCTCATTTCGCTCGATTGAACACTGTCTTTCCATGGGCTGATTCTGTGAGAACAGCACCATCTACAGGCCTGGCATATGTACTACAGCGTCTCCAGCGCTTTCCAACGGCAATTTCCGTGGCTGTCTCCTCCTGATTGGTGGAGTTAGCCCAATAGCCGTAGCGCCACTTCTGTGACGTCACAGAAGTGTTCAAATCTGGATCAGTCTGTATCAGATCCGCTGCAGCCCCTTTTTAAGAGATTTGGGTATGGAGGAAAATAGAGAGGGTTGTGTTTTCTGACTCTTGGTGAGTTCCCTGGAACACCTGGGACACATGTTCATGTATAAAAGACTTACAAAAGTGCATTTTGCATGATAGGTCATCTTTAAGTGTTGACTATATTTCACATCATTAATCCAAATCTGCAAAGTAACTAAAGGTATTAAATAATTGTAGTGGAGTAGAGAAAAAGTAGTATAACATTGAAATACTCAAAATGTTACTAATGTAGTATTTGAGTAAATCTACTTAGTTACTTTACACCACTGCTTAAAGCCTTTTTGAGCTTAACACTTTTCAAGACTGCATTCATTCTAAGAAAATGATGGCATGAGGCATTTCTAAAATCCAACAAATGTTGTTTAAAGGAGGAAGGACGTCTTTCAACAAGGCACATCGTTTACAAATAACTGTCGACTTAGAATCTGATTCTGATCAAATTGAATAAAACATGGATTCATCCTAACCAGGGTTAGCCATGCTGCGGCGGATGGCAGGAAGGTCCTTGCGTTTCCACTTCTGCATCTCTTCCTCCATCTTGTCAATTTTGGCAGGGTTCAGCGCCCACAGACAGCCCTTACGGGAGGAGCTGCTCGTCTTGTTCTCCACTTTCTCAAAGCATTTGTTTAAGGACAGGTTGTGTCTGACTGAGTTCTTCCATCCATCAGGTGCAATCTGCAGGGAGAAAAGGGGACATTTATAATAAGTCAAATGTTTTCTCAACTGCATGCATGTTGATCTTTAGTCCTTTCCTGCAATATAAATAGAGTAGCATACCTTGAAATAAGGGAAGTGATCCTTCATAAAGCTATAGATCTCACTGACTGGGAGGCTGCCAGTTTTGCTGTTCTTCAGAGCCATGGCAATCAAACAGCTGGGAAGAAATGACCAGAAAACAATCGTTATTTTAATGCAGATCAAAAAGAAAAGGCTGAAATACACTGAAGATTATTAGGTGGATGTGGTAGGTGTTTTTATATGTAAGGCATGTTAGTGAGGTCTGACCTGTAGGAATAGATTGGCTTGGGGAAAGACTTGGGCTGCAGCTCCTGGTCTTGTGGAGCCAGACGAGGTTGTGTGAAAAGACTTTGGTTGTTGAAAGAGACATTGCTATAAAGCCCACCAGTTGAACACTATAACAAAAATAGAGAACAATAATTAGGAACTTCATCATTTGCATTTATTCATTGTGACCAACCAAGTTTTTATCAGGTAGCATCAAGTGCAGAGATCCATGTTATCCACACAAATAGCAAAAGACGAATTAGCAACAACAACAACAACAACAACAACAACATGAGATTATCAGTTGAGAGTTTGGTACCTGTTGTCCGGTTTGGGTAAGAGAGTACACCTGCTGGGGGGCAGACTGGTAGACTGAGGTAGGGCACTGGTATCCCGGAGAGGGCATCCCATTCATGGAGAATGGAGACATCTGTAAAGCAGATACAGTAATATTTGTTAATCATCCCTATAAAACGCTTGCTTGTTTTTTTTCTTGCAATTCTGTTGAAACTCACACTTCCGCTGTGGGTGTTGATGATGCTGATTCCCAGAGGGCTGTGCTGCATGTTGCTCTGGAGGTGCAGCATGGAGCCTTGACCCGCCGTCATCGCAGTCATGTTGCTCAGTTGAGCTGTGAGAAGGAGCAATAATTGTATTAGATTTAAAAAATTGTACTGAAATAATCCTGAAGTGCTTTCTTTTTTTATCCAGAGAGATATGATATGATGGCTGTAACAACCAGAAGAATATATAGAGGAATAGGTAGTATGTTTTTGATAATCATATAACCAAAAAATACCACAATAAGAAGTCTTCATCTAAGCTTCTGTTGAAAGTGCTACACAAGAAAATGTTCAGTATATGGCTGCAAATTGGTCCTGTGAGTCAATTTTATGTATTTTTGTATTTATTTTAATAACAATTGTTTGCATTTTTGATCTGCTGAGCACAATAAATACTCTATTTAAATGATGGTTTGAGGTTAACTGTCCCTGTGTTATTAGTAAAGCACAGTCCCAACAGCAGTGCTGTACTGTTAACGTCCAATATGATACTCTGTTTATATCTGCAGATGAGGGAATCCTGCTGTCCTGATTATCCAATGAGAGGGCTGATGCCGTTTTTGAATGTTGCACTGTCCCCTCCCTGTCCCCTCACCTGTCTGTTGCTCCAACAAGCTGCCCTGGGGGGGGCCGTTACTGAGGCCTCTGCTATCAGCCATCTGCTGGAGCCGGGGCACATCCACTGAGGTGAGCCATGACAGAGACTGCAGGTCCCCAGGGAGGTCCTCCTCCCTAAGCTGGGAGGGGTCCGTGGTCAGAAGCCTTCAAAAGAGGAGAAAGAGGGGGGGGTTAACACGGCTGTCACACAGAGACACACACAAGTGGAATTTAAATCTAAACACTAGATAGAACATTTTGTCCTTCAAAGTCAGACCACTGTAATGAGTGTGAATGTGGGCAAACAGAGATGAAAGCTGCTCAGTGAAGCTGGGCATCAGCCAT